CCCCAAAACCCCAAAACCCCAAAACCCCAAAACCCCTAATTACCAGATAACTTGAATCAATAAAAGCGGTGATACTTATGTAAATCGAACATTACGATAATTTAGGAGAAATCTGGAGATTCCTCGTCTTTTCTCAGTGTCATGATCTCAGGCCCATCATCATGAATAGCAATGATGTGTTCCCATTGCGCACTAGGAGTGTTATGAGCAACTACTGTCCAGCCGTCTCTCCACTCATAGATCATGTTGTAGGCATCATGGAGCATTATAATGGGCTCAATGGTAAAAACATTTCCAACCTCCATTTTAGCTTGAACGTTATTTGGCGTGTGGTAAACGAAAGGACCACAGTGTAAATCTTCACCAACACCGTGTCCAGTAAAGTGAGGACAAACTACATACCCACTTTCAGTGGCATACTCTGTGATAACTTCACCTATCTTAGAATATGGAACACCTGGCTTTCAAATTTCTATAGCCTTATACAAGGACTCTCTTGTGACTCTAATTAATCTTTGAATGTCAGGGTGGACATCACCGATACATACCATTGCAGAGTTATCACCATGATATCCATTCTTATAGCAGGTGACATCGATGTTAACATAATCTCCGTTCTTGAGAACTCTATCGTCAGGTATCCCATGACATAATACTTCATTCACACTCGTACACACAGACTTAGGGAAGTGTAGATAGTCGATAGGGGTTGGATAAGCATCATCTGCAATGATGAAATCATGCACTGCCTTATCAATATCTTCTGTAGTGTTACCAAGTTTTGCAGCCTTCATACCTTCAGAGAGGGTATCTGCAGCTAGTCTAGCAGAGATCCGCAATTTTTCAAGTGCATCCTTATCGTGCTGAATGATAGGCTTCTCATTTAGATCCTCAAATTGCTGATTTGGCTTTCCCACATATGGAGGACGGACGATGTGTTCTGGAACTTCCCTAGCCGGAGATACTTTGTAGTTACCATCTATTAGTGGTTCTGTATAAACTTTTCTGGCAGAATAGGATAAATGTCTCATCATCACACTCCTTCTAGCAATTTGATATAACTTCGACATCGATATAAGTTTTCAATAATTTTTATATTTTTAGGGGTTTTGGGGTTTTGGGGTTTTGGGGTTTTGGGGTTTTGGGGTTTTGGGG